TTCCCCCCCCTTTTTTCACCTCCTGGGTCTTCAACTAAAGTTGATGAAGCACTGTAAATCCCACTTTATCTTTTAAAACACTAAACCAGACAAATGCTTTTAACAAGAGGAACAAAGCCTATCCCAAAGAAATGAAGGGGGAAAAAAAACACTTGAGAAGTTTTGCACTTTCTCTCATAATCCTGACATCAGCAACAGAGGTCCTGTTAGAGCACCAGAAAGCATTCCCTAAGCTAGAAGTCATTCTCTTTTAATTAAAAATCTTTGACCCCGTATTTTTCCTACAACAATAATCTTCTATTACCTTTGTATTTCCAAAGTTTGTGTTCTGAAAAAAGAGTAAAGCATAAATTGTATGCGAACAAAGAAAGCCTGGCCAAAAAGCAGACTTTGAATGAAGTTTATGTTTCTTTGATGTTTAAGATGACAAAAAAGTGCTCTTCATAAAGGAAGGCAGCAGTATCTGTCTCATGAAGGGCAATGAGATTTAGATGGCATCCTGGACATTTGTGCATCTTCTTGGATGAATCTCCTAAGAAATGAATACTGAGAGGGTTATTCCTGCCCCAAGAGCCCCTCTTGAGACAAGCATAATTTCAGCCTTGAGACAGCCTTGATTTCAGAAACTGTACTGCAAGAGCAGCCTGCCATAACTCCTGCGAGCTCTGCTCCATCACCTGGAGCAGCTGTACCTGATACCATCTACCAGCTAAAATACCATGGGCCACATCAGCTCCAGGTGGGGAGGGAGGGAGAGGGGAACAGTGATTTGACATGCAAATTGTAGCCTAGCTTTTGTTAACCAAGCTCAGGGCTGCAGGCTTTTAAAATGGTGCCTCAGGTTTTAGCTTTTATATTTTTCAGATTCTTTGCTGCTTTAGTGCGTGGGTCTGAGCTTCATATTAGGGGATGGTGAGCTCTCTGCACAGAGCAGGGAGACAAAACAATTCCTTCTCCAGCTGGGCACCAAGGACAAATGATCCAAATCTCAGGCCCAGGAGCACAAACAACGTGGGCTGGAGAGAGAAAAACAAGCAGGATGGGACTGCCTGGGCTAAAGCTGGAATGGGACAATGAACTCCAAGGTGCAAATGGAGCAGAACTGATCCCAGTGAGAGCCCCCAGGAGCGCTTGTGCATTTTGGGGCCATTTTGGTCCATCTTGGGTGCAGCCCTGGCTGGGCTCTGGTGCTGCCCAAGGTGGATCCATGGGGGAGATCCTTTTAATAAATCCCTGCTTTATTCTGTAACTCTGTCCAGCCTCTGCTCTAGGGCAGCCTTCACAAGGCATCAAAAGGGCCTGAGCTGGTCACCACATTTGCTGCCTAGAGGAAGACTCTCTTCTCTTCCCCCAGCTGGTTGGAGGATTGACTGGAGATCAACCCCCCAGGATAAAGGTATCCTTGGAGACTCTCTCCTGACATGCCAGCAGTGAGATGCACACTGTCCTGCCATGCCATGGGATGTTCCAAGTTGCAGGAGCACCCCCTTGGTCCCCAGCCCCGTGTGGGACTGTCTGTGCGACAGCAGCCGTGCACAGTGACATGCTGTGTCTGTGTTTGGTGAATGTTGCAAATCTGGGTCGAACAATATTTGCTCAGGCACGGAGAAAGTCTGGGAATTTTATCTTGGCATGTGCCTGGAGCCAAAAATACAGTGCAGCAAATGGGCATGGCTGAAATTCACCCCTGTTATCCCAAATGTCACTCTGAAGGTTCTCAGAGACTTTCAGGCTCCCAGCAGACTCAGTTGTGCCAGCGGTGTCTGAATGCAATGAGCTGGACCTGTCAGAAGCAAGTCCCAGCCAGCACGTTAATTCTCTAGCTTTACAGATGTGATTCTCTAAAAGATCTTTGTAATATAGATTTTTGTGATCTAGACTTTGAATTACCACCCTCTGTGTCTGTCTCACAGTTTGTGTCCCATTAAACATACCTACAAGCGTGCTTAGGAATGTAATTAAATTGCTGTTACTGGAGGGCTACTTTATGGTCACTCAAGAAAACCTATTCCCAAGTGGGAAACAGTTTCTGATTTCTCAGTGCTTTAGGAAAAGTCCCCTCAGTTTTTGTGTAAGCTTATGTAACAAAGATACCCAGAGTGTGGGTATGAACTTAACATTTCGTTTGTTCAAGGAACAAGTTGCACTTAGGCTGGCCCTTAATCCACAGTTATATCTTCAGAGTTTTCCTTTGTGTATTGAAATGAAAAATTATAGCCGATGCCAAATGCAGCTTTTTAAACCATACCTAGAGTGAATAGCTAATAGCTTCTTGATTTACCACTGCTGCATGTTTCAAGCTTTGCAGGTAACTTCATTTTTGAGACTGAAGTGCCTATTTTTATTTTATTTATTTTTTTAATCAACGGTGTTTTGATCAGTATCTGCTGCCCATGAAACTTGTTTGGGTTAAGATTTCATTATGAATTCGAAATGGCCCAGATTCATTTAAGAGGTGGTCTTAAAATACCTCTGATAGACTTGAGCAATTTATGATTACATTTCAGAGCCAGCTGCTGACTACAGAGCAAAATCAAAACCACCTCACAATTCACAGTTTTGTTTGCCTTAAGGTTTAAATCCAGTTCACAGAAAGGAAGGGCTGAACTCTCCACCCCAAGATTTGCTCATCTTTTTTGCAGCTGTAGAATACTAGAGTACAATTATTATTAGCAATCTAAATGAAAATGTTGCTTTTCTCCTATACAGGGCCCTGTTTTAACTAATAAGTCCTTCTGTAATTATTGTGGGGGTGCTGCATTGCTAAAATATTCAAATAGGAATGACATTACAAGGAGTTCTCTGGGAGGAATAAGGAATCGTGCTACAGTCATAAAGAGATCGCCGTTTAAAGCAACTAAATGCAGATACATGCGAAAAAGGGGAGCTAAAATGTTTGGGATTTGTTCCTTTGTCTGCCCAGATACTCTTTATTTCATCAGTCGTCGTGGAACAACTTCACAGTTGTTTTACATTCCTAAAGAGCAACCTAAATCTGATTCAATGTACACCTGTGTAAAGCAGATTTTATTTAAAAAAAAATGTATCTAATTATTCTTTTACTCAAACAAAATGCAGCCTCGGTTGTTGTTGGCCTTTTTTTCTTATTAATTAAGAAATAAACCATTATATTCCCATGATGCATGCAATTTTCAGTTTCTAAGAAGATACACTGCATGAAAAATTTCACAAGCTCTAGCAGCACTTATGTTCTTGTGCCTTGCACCAGCACAGTCATGTGAAAAAACATGGAAGTTTAAGATGTGCTTTGTTTTCCTTTCGTAATCTGAGAAAAAGTTTTGTTTGTCAAATGTGAAAGGCAAAATGCCTCTTTTAGTTTTTTGCCTGTTTTAGATTTTTGACGTACAGATTCTTGGCAAATGTCATTGCTTTGTTTTAGCTAATACAAATAATGATGATTATCTAGATGAAATAAGCAAAAAAGAATGCTTATGCTCTAATTACACTTAAAACGCATTATGAGGGAATCCTTGTTAGTTTAAAAAAAAAAAAATTGTATTATTTTCATTTCAGACCTCTGGAATAAATCCACGACCAGAGCTCAGCTTGGGTACTTGCTCGGGATGCTGATGCATCTTAGAGGTAAGAAACTGCCTGAAATGTCTTCATGTAGCTGCATTATGGTTATGGAAAGGGGTGGGAATTACTGGAGTAGTGGATTCCCAGCCTTCTGACATTTGCTGCATTCCCCTTGTGCTGATCTTCTGTACCTTAGCCCAGTGCTGTGTTAAATCTGATTGCCTGCAAAATAAAACTCCAGAATTATTTTCTGTTCTACGTGGGTTTGAAAATGCTCACGTTGTTGAGTAAGCTGCATTTCATCCAGATTTCACAAAAATTGGCAATCATTAAATGCTGCTGTCAATGAGATTCATACAGCAGTGATAAACTTTCAGCCTCCACCAGGCTGAAGGCTCACTACACACTTTATGAACTCAAACTCTAAAGGCAGAAAATAGAAATGAACACATAAGCTACAAAAAAAATTGTACCATGCAGTTATTAGTTATTCAGCCCTTAACTGCCTTGCAAGGGTTTTGAAATCCAGAAAATGGTCAGACATTGACTATAGTTTTATTAGAAAACTGCTTTTCTATCAAAAGAATATCTAGCATGACAAAGGAAACCCCACCTATTCTCCACTATTAATATGAAAATATTATTATGTAATAAAATCAGAAAATTCTGGAATCATTGGAATACTTAAGAAGAAATAAACTATATTCCAGCTATGTGAAGGCCATCAAACATTGGTGGACAAATCAATGTCTTAGTTATTGATTCTATTTTGCACTCTGTTTAGGAATGAGGAATTGTTCTTCATTTTAAGCTCCAGTTGTCCTGTCTCAGTCCCCTGTTAGTGCACCTGCCCTCTGAGGAAATTGCTCATTCTGCACTGATCCCTTTTGTCTCTGCAGCTAGAGCTGCCCAAAGTGATGGGGGATTTCCTCCTTCTCTGCTTCACCTCTGCACATTCAGTACTCCAAATACCATTCAAGTCCCTCCGTTCTACATTAGCAGGATGAGCAGGGTTTTCCTGAAGTTCTGGGGTGAGTGATGATGGTTTGACTCAAAACTCATTTGGGCATGAAGGTTCACTTAGCCAGCAATGAACTGAAGTTGTTGTTGGCCTTTTTGGAGCCCCTGCTCATGTCCTAAAACCAAGAAAAAAATTATGCAGGATTTTAAAAGAAGTATTAAGAGGAAAAAAAAACCCACAAACATTACTTTCTTAGGCTGAGATATTGCTAATTAGAAGAGATGCAAGTAAATTTTTAAAAATATTGTGAAAGAGGCAAAGGAAGTCAAACATTTTTTGAAACTTGGCAAGTCTAGCTCAGGTTCTCTTAATTCTGGGTTCTTGTCACACAGCACTGAGTACATTTAGAAGCTTCCAAAATTAATGGGGATTTTTAAATAATGCAACAGACTAAATCCTAAATTGGGGCCTGTCGTTTCACTTTTTTTTAGTTACACAGTGAAATCTGTAGGCTGCTAAAGAAGATCATACAGTGCCCTGGATGCAGACATCTCTCCTGCTGGCTGGGTAAACATGGGATATATATGGAATGGCTGCTGTCTTCCTGCCTGTCTGTGGGTGTCTCTTGTGCCCCTCCAGGGAGATTGGGTGTCACTTCATCCCTCTGGGATGCTACAGAGCCACAGGAGTCACAGGTACATCCCAACACCCTCATTTGGTCACCACATGAGAGCAACTAATTTGCTGCACAGAGGCACCAGGGAGGAGATGAAACACATCTTCTAATTAATTGTTCAAAAATGGAGAATCACCCAAATCCTGAGCTCTTAAGGACCAGCTACCAGTGAGGAAAATCTTCCTCCCTGCCAGGCTCTGGAGCGTGCAACAGAAACAAAAAGCAAACTAAGGAGTGTCACTTACCTGTGTCTTATCAAGAACTTCCATAGAGGTGATGAACTTAAAATAAAGAAAGGTACCTAAGTAATTGTCAGATTTTTAAGTAAGGCAAGGCCATCCCCTAAATTTGTTTTAAAAATGATTACTCAGGCAGTGCCAGTTAACGAAGCCTGATCCTGAGGGAAAGGACTTCAGTCCATGGTGGTTATTTGCTGTTCACCTACTTCACACAAACCCTCTCTTAATGAATCATTCAGGTTTTTCTGGTCCTTAATCCTTAATGGTCCTTAATGAAATGCTCTTCATTGTTTTTTGCCAACTTCCTGAAATTGAAGAAAACAATCACAAAGATCTCAAACAAACCTTAGTAGTTACTAACAACGATAGATACCCCTTTATTAATTAGGCTGTAATAAGCCTATAAACAATGTAAATGGGGTGTTCAGGGGGTTGTCTCTCTTTTTGAGCTCTCACCTGCCCCTCTGTGCATTGCAGCCTTGCTGAAGGATCTGCAATTCAGCTGTTGATGACAGCAGCTGCCCTCAATGAATGGTTCCTCCACTTCTCCTTCCTCAATAAATAGTTCCTCCAAAAAAGTCCTCCAAAGTGGCTCATCAGCTTCCTCCTCGAGGAGTGAAAGGGTCTGGGTAAAGGCACAAGAGACATCAGCTTGTAAGGCCATCCACAGAACCTTCCCTCAAGTGTCTGGGAAGTGAAGGGATACCAGGACACGGGCGTGGTGCCATTGAGAGCCCAGACACAGCTTCTGCACTGGGTATCCTACAGCCCAAACTCAAGAGGTTGCCCCAGTGGGATAGAAGGGACCAGAGGCTGGATGGTTCCATGTCACAGGACTTCCACTTGCATTGCTTGAGGATCAGCAGAGACCAGAAAGTAAAGAAGCCCTCATTTTCCACATCAGAGTGAAAAGGAGTGAGCTCTGACAGAGCACAAACCGAGCAGACAGGAACAGTCCCTGTGCCTGTCACTGCTGCGTCACCCAGGCACTTTCTTTCATTCTGAAGATTCATTATTTAAATCTTAAAATGCCTCTCTGAAACTCAGCAGAGATATTCCTGCTTTCAATAATACATTTGCAATAACGCTTTCCTCCCTCCTTCAGACCTCTTTGAAATCAAGCACTGCAGTCAGTGACATGTTGACGGTTTTGCATGAATTAATGAAAAAGGACTTGGAAATGCTTGACCAGGATTTATTTATTATTCTTAAACTGACCATGTATTCATGTTGCTCTTCTGTAAAGAAAATTAAGAGAAGAAGGAACTGAAAAAAGCTCTTGAAATGTATGATTTAGAATTTATTCTGTACCTCAATCTACAGGATATAATTGTAAGAATCAAGGTTTCTGGTTTGAGGTAAAAATTCTTGCTCTAAATTGTAAGATTGCTTTCCTGGTATTGCTTAACATGCTAAGAGGATGTGAAAATCAATGTTTCCAATACTGGGAAAACATAAGTCCAAAGTTGGTCGCTTAATAGATAAAGCCTAACTATTATTTACTCCCTTTTGTTTAAAAAGAAAATTATTAATCATCTTGAAAACAAATCACCAAGGCAAACATTAATACAAATATTAATATTCCTGCTGAATATTTTATTATATACTCTTTATGCTAAAAACCTAAAATGCAAAATCTTCATTATCCAGGCACGGAAGTGACACCTAATCTTTCTGAAGCAATGCCCTGCACTCTGGAATGTGTTGAGTTGGAAATATGAGTCCTCTGAGTCTCGTGCTCCCTTTATTTGCACGCACTCCTGTTTCACCGCCCTGTTTCCTTCAGCACCTCAGCCTTCCCCAGAAATTCTGTGTTTGCCTCTGCCTGTCTGGGGCAACAGCCCCAGGCAAGGAGCAGGGCAAGGAGGCTGCCAGCAGCAGAGGGTTGCATGGCTCATGCCAGCTCAAACACAAGGAGTTCCTCTTGCTGTTTTCCTGCCTCCTGAGGCCAGCCAACCAAAGATGGCATTTCTCCATTCCTGGAGCACCTGGTGTAGGTTCTCAATGCTCATAATTATCCTCCCAGCCCTCTGCAGGTGCAGGGCAGGTTCTCTGAGAACACAGCTCTACAGTGGATAGGTTCATCTATAAATCTTAGCGAAACACATGCCATAGGATTTAAAATGTGTTTGTATTTTTATAATTTTTGCTGAGAAAGCAACAGCAGTTGGAATAATGTTACATTATAAGGTTATGAAGCCTTGGGCAAAATCTCCAGCTCTTAGTAAATGCAGGGCTTTCTACTGCAATCAAAATCTTCATGTCAGCATCTTAAGCTGCTGGATCACTTATGCCTTTACAATCTTCACCACTCAGTTTTTATCCATTCTCTCAACATCTCAGCACAGATTTTCACTTCTCAGGCATTTGTGTTCACCCACTACCAGCTGACCCCTTGCTGTCCTCATCTCGCAGGGCAGCTCCAGGAACACCTTCCCACGTGTGCCCTGGCTGCCAGCTGCTGTTGTGGTGCCCACTGGCTCTCAGACAGGCTCTGACCTGTGTGAGCCACGACCTGCTCCTCCTTTGGCTCAGCACGGCTGCCTGCACAGATGGTGAGGAGCGGCACACACCGCCCACCCATCTTCCTGTGCCTCTCTCCATATGGTTCTTGTGTTGGACCTGGAAACAAATCGGAGCAGTTGGTGGGACTAGGAAATTAATTTCATTAAGCTCAGCAAAGTTGCTGTTAAAATTCCTGGTGCTCTTGTACTGGCGTGAATGGCCGAGTGAGTCAGGTAAGGCTCAGATGGGAATAGGTGGTTCCCTTGATTTTACAGGGGTCAAACCCCCATCGCTGTGCCTTAAGCTCACTCTGTGGCATGTCTGTAATCCGCCTTACCATATGAGTGAGTTCCTAATTTCCCCAAGAAAATCATCTCATGACAGGTGTGAGATTGTGCAGCATTAATATCTGTACATGCAGACTGCATAATACTTGTACATTTAATAATATCTGTACATTTTGTAATATCTGTACATGTACACTGCATAATATATGTACATGCACACTGTATAGTATCTTTACATTTCACAGTATTTGTACATGCACACTGCATAATATCTGTACATGTATATTTATAATATCTGTACATGTACACTGCATAATATCTGTACATGCACACTGTATAGTATCTGTACATTTCACAGTATTTGTACATGCACACTCCATAATATCTGTACATTTCATAATATCTGTACATGCACACTGCATAATATCTGTACATGTATATTTATAATATCTGTACATGTATATTTCATAATATCTGTACATGCACACTGCATAATATCTGTACATGTATATTTCATAATATCTGTACATGTACACTGCATAATATCTGTACATAGATATTTCATAATATCTGTAAATGTACACTGCATAATATCTGTACATGTACACTGCATAATACATGTTCTGATACTGCACAGGATTACACAGTCTTGGAAATGGATAATGCCACTTGCTCCTTTTGGTGGTGGTAGGGGAGATAATATTAAAGCAACCTGATATTAAAATAGATAAATTATTTATATTTTGATGATAGATTCAGTTATATCCTCTTTGTGCTTAAAAGGAACTGATTAAAAATGTCAAGATTTCAGGATCTAGGATAACATCTCAAAGGGAGACCGTAAATGTTCACGAGTGTAAGTTTCATTGTAAGATTTAGCTCCCCCTGAAACTCAGTGTCAAAGGCTAGAATTATTTCACAGATATTTTTTATATATTTGTTTCTCAGCCACCTGGGACCAAATCCCCAAGAAGAAGCTTCAACATGAGGCAATTTGTTCTGTGGGGTAGAGCACAGCTCTCCGGGCTGTTGAAGGTGATATAATGCTGATTTAGGGCTCAGCTGCATGGCTAATGCAACCCAATATGGAAATGGACTGGTGGAATTCCTGAAGAGCCACAACCAGTTCCTGCTGAGAGATTCTGCTTCCCAGCACATGGGGCAAGAATGTGTATTGTGGCTTCTAGCCATGTGAAGGTCTGGGTGTACAGCTCATAGAGCTATGGAATCTGGCAACCATGAAAAGTAGGGATATTCATGATGGAGACACCTGTCCCTACTCCAATGGTTACTTTATGTACTTCAAATATTTTTTTTTAAATCTTACTTTCAACATTTACACTATAAATCTTCTAGAAACCAGCCTCTGGAACAGGGGCTGGGATCCAGGTGTCTCTGCCCCTCACTGAATGTTCCTACCACAAGGCTGTGGTGTCATACTCATTGCTTCTCCCTTTTTACCACAGATATTTTTTATTTATTTACATAAAATGAAACAGATCCATCATCAAGGCTGGCAAGATTAACAAAATATTCCATGGACAGGAATTTAAAGCACAGTTGAAGAATGAGAGGAATTTGCTACCCAGTACTCCGACCCTTGTGATTGGTGATTTTGGGAAGCTGCTCCATGTGCTCACCACGTGCCTCTGGGATTTTTTTCTCAGGTGATACAGGTGGAGGAACTGTGCTTGAGAATTCTTCCAGGCATGACCCAGAAATGAAACTTTAGCACCTGGTTTAAGACTAGAAGCAGCGCACTGTAGAGGCAGCTGAAGAATTTTTGGATGCAGGCACATTAAGGTAAACAATCTCTGAAAATCCCACTAAATACTTATTTGCATCTTTAGATACTTATCTAACTACAATAATTTGATTCCAAATCAAAGTTGTTTCTTGAATATTAAGACTTAGCATTACAATTTTATTCACTCTAAAAGAATCTTCCTAACATTGCTCAGAGGGGGATTGTCATTAATAAGTTATTAATGAGCCTGAACCTTTGATTGTGTGCATTACATGTCGAGAATTGTTTCAATTTAATTATTTTTTTGGCTAATCAGTAGAACAAGTATTCATTCTTAGCTTCCCTTTACTCTGAGAGATTTGGTCATTTTCCTTGCAAGACACTAGTTAAAATTCACTTTCAGCCTACATTTCTGTTTCTCAGCTGTTTAAGCAGAACTCATTTTTTCAGTGTTACTAAGAAAAGATGCTTTGAAAATATCTGTTCCATTTCCTAGGAAAAAAAGTTGCACACTTATAAATCACAAAATCAGAAGGCATAAAACCTAGTGTGCTTACAGAACTACTTAAAAATAAGAGTAAATTGCTGACATTTTTTGGTACTGTTAGCTCTGGAACACAAGATAAAATGGAACTGACACCAAAGATCATATTCAGGTTAGTAAATATGATTATTTTTCAGTGTTGTCTCCCAGAACTGTAACAAACCAGGTTATATGAAAGAGCATTGAAATTCCTGTTAGAGGAACTTTTGACTTCCTCATATTTCTACAGAATATTTCTAAGAATTAGGAAAAAAACCCCAACAAAACCACCAGATAAAAAAAAAGAAAAAAGAGTCTGAGAGAATATTTGGTGTTTAGACACCAAGGAGCTGAATAGGCCGGTCAAATGAAAACTTATGAGAAATAGGGCTCTATCCTACAAGCATTTATATATCCACTCAAATTTGTTGAGTGAGAAGTTTTTTAAGTGAATATTAAAAAAAAAAAAAAAAAAAAGGAACAGTGGAAGAGTTAAAACTCAACTCAGTGATCAGAAAACCAAACACCATTTGAAGCACAAAATAACCAGAGGGTCCTGTGCAGATCTGAACCAGCCAGTGTACTTGTAATTATTACTTTTAAAAGAAGGGGAATGTTTGCTTTCAAAACCAGTACTTCAGGTGGCTTCAAAATTATAACATACGTAATTTTTAAAAGTTATTTTTTCCTGAACCCAAACTTAGGAGAGAAATTTATGGCATAATTATCTAATGTTAGCAAAAACCAGCAAACCAAATTTCTGGGACAGTCATTCAGGTATTATGAAGGTTGACATCTTAAAAAAAAACCAAACAACAATGAAACAGAGTGCTTGTAATCCCACTGCTATAGGACATTTTTATTTTTTTTTTAAATAACAGGTCACTGTTAAAAGTGTGTTTTACAACCCAAAGCACAGGATTCACTACTGCAGCAAAAACCTCTGCATAATGTGAATTCTCAGTTACAATAAAATGGAATCACTCTTTGAAAACCAGATTTCCTCCATGGGCATCATCAAAAACATTCCATTCACATGTATTTTACATGAGCCTGGAGTGACAGAACAAGGAGAAACAGCTTCAAACAGACAGAGAGTAGGTTTAGATTAGACATTAGGAAAAAATTCTTTAGTATGAGGGTGATGAGGCCCTGGCACAGGCTGCCCAGAGAAGCTGTGGGTGCCCCATCCCTAGAAATTTTCCAGGCCAGGTTGGATGGGGCTCTGAACAACCTGGGGTAGTGGAAGGTGACCTTTAGGATCCCTTCCAACTCAAAACATTCCATGATTCTACTGACAAAAGATACATAGGCAAAAATAAAAATATATAAAATTTACAAAAGATAACATTTAAAAGGCTCCAGTTACATTCTTTCCTCTCCTGAGTTGGAATTTTACTCCTTCATTTTAGCACGATAATTCATGTAAATTAAAAGTAATCGCATTCTGCTCTGACCAATCCTTATTTTGAAATACAAAGTTTGTATTTTTAAATGCCTCCAGTGGAAGTATAACAGACTTAGAGAGACTGAAAACTCACTTCTATGCTTGGAAAAATCTCAATCAGCCTATTCTTTACAGTGCAGAAGGACTCTAATTGTTTTCCTAATACAGAAATTGTAATTCTTTCTATGCACACCACAACGTAAGGGAATGGAAATTTTCATAAATTAATAAATTTGATTTGTCATCAAGTGGATGTTCTCCACAATATAGAACGTAATTTTTATTCATTACATACCTCAGTAATGTATTTTACATTCCCCTTATGAAGAAAACCTTGAAATTGTGAATTAAATTAAACACATGCAGTGTGGGTGTTGTTAGTATGCCTGCACTCAACTCCAAAATAATATTATTTACTACTTCTTTGCTAAAAATGGTATAAAAATAATCTAATTCACAAGGTAAATATGTTTCAATGCCACATTCAGCGAGATAATTCACACATTATTTTTTTTACTACACATTACTTTGGATGCTTAATGAATTACATGAAAATTTGTAATTTTCAAAGCTTTCAATTGAATTCCATGTGATAGTCTGTGAAATGCTGCTGAAGTAAAAAAAAAATGTTGATATTTCTAAGTAACCATATTTTTAAGTGCTCCAGTAAACAGATGTATAAATCTGTTATGCAATGTACTGATCATTACCTAAACTACTGAGGATTTTAATGACTTAGTAATGTTGTAAAATAATTTGAGATCCTAACACAGAAAACTAGCATTCAAGTCCAGAACATTACCACCATGTATAGGTTTTAATCACAGTACATTTCACAAATTAGGCAAATTTAACTCTACTCAGTCAATTAATATTTGGTAGCAGTATAAAAACTTATATGGAATTATCCATATGCAATGTTATAACAAGCTGACAAGTTAAATAAAAAGGAATAAGAGAAAAAAGTTAATATAAAATGTAAGAATAATTACCATAAGTATAGACCAAGAGTGGTAAAGGTGAAAATGTATGCACAGGATTGTCTCTATTTCTTCTTTCCCCACCCCATGACACTCTTCAGCAGGACATGGTGCAGAATTTACTTCATTTTTACTACATTTTCACCATTTTATTTCATTTTCACTACTTCTTTACGCCCAAAAGAGCATCTCACTTAGCTCAATCACAGCATTTCTGCAGGGTTTGGGAATTTGTTGTGTTGCACCACTATTTTTGGGGGCACAGTATATGTAGCCCGTTATGGGAAGTGGCCCTGTATGTGTTTCTGTGGTTTCCCAGAGCAGCTGTAAGCCAGTCCCTGTGACCACAAACCAGCAGCAGCATGAGAAAAGACTGGAGGGAGGCATGGACAAACCAAACAGGTGCTGACCTGGATATCTGGGCTAAACATTTCCATGGTAAGATCTCTCCCCCTCTCCTTAGTGGTCGGGGAAATCATTGTTTCTCCCTTTGGATGGAGAATTGTAAATCCCTGAGAGGATTAGGTAAAAGTGCTGTTGCTAATGACACATAAAATTCTTCTTCATCAGTGACTAAGGATGAAGTGATTCTGAGACAGATGATTATGTCTTGGGGAACAGTCAGCTGTCCAAAAATTCTTTACACCTCCTTTTCTTCACTATCCATTTCCTGATCTTTATTGTCCACAGCAAACTGCCTTTTTTTTTTTTTTTTTTCCCTAGTTAAAGTCAGTTTAGCTTTTTTTAACTAACTTGATGTTCACCTTTATTTTCTTACAGACCTTTCTGCGGCAGTAACCCATGAAACTTCCTGGGTTTGTCTCCTTTGCAATCTCCACAAGAAGTCTCTAGCATCACTGTGGAAGATTGTGCTGCAAATGGAAAGTAGAAGTGGTAGTTTCTGGTTTTCACTGGAGTGTGAACTGCTGCAGTTTCTTTGGTGAATGACTGATACAGTGACCTCATCATATGGAATGGTTCCTATTTTCTCTGGTTTATTATAGACACCTATTCATCAAAAGGAGGCTGAGTCTGCAAGTGCCAAAAAGATGCAGCAGCAGAACTTGAGGGAAGTCTTGAGCTGTTGACTATTTGCAGAGGTAGAGCTCTGCCTTCCCAGAATTTCTCTTCTCTAGAGAAGGAAGACAGAATTTTTAGGTGACTATAACTATATGCTCAACTATATGCTGTTTAAGGAGTACCTGTCAGCTGCAGACAGCCTAATCCAGTGGAATCATATCCTGAAGAACGAAAAACACAAATACCCTCCTGCCTTTCCCCTTGTTTTTGTGTGTCCCCACACAGGAAATCTCCTCAGTGGTCATTATTTCTCATCTTCTGTGCAACTTGTGTTCTGTTTGGCTCATCTCCCACCGTGCTTCCCCACCTGGTAGTGGATTTTGATGGAGACTCTAAAATTAAAGCACTGCTGCCTTTTTGTGAAAGATCTTCACAACTTAGGTGCCTACAACACCCTAAGACAGCAGATGAATAACTGACAATTACATTGTTTCATTCAGAAACATGCAGAAGTGGTATTTTTATCAAGGCCCACATGGTAGAGGCCACAGCAAAGTTCATCTTCCCAATACATGAGAATTCGTGCCTTTACTTCCATCATGCTACCTAATGCAGGATGTGAGAATCGATATACCAGGAAAAAAGACTCTTAATTTTACTTTCTTCTGTCAACTTCAGTGCAGAAAGTGGCAGATGCCTTGGGGAGGTCTGGTTTGTTCCATGTGAGACTAGAAAGAACCTAGAATGTGTCCAGCCAAAAAAAAAAAAAAAAAAAAAAAAGCTGCTGCTTTTAATCTAAACAGAATAATTAATGTTTTAGCTTAAGGAATTAAAAGAATATAGTCATTTATCTGCTCTGATCTATGTATTACAATTCTAAATGGGGTGGCAGCAAAGAAATTAAGGTAGGGAGTGTTTATTCCTCTAGTTCTTTTTTTGTTTTGTTTTAATTATTTTATTAAAAGTGTCACCATTTCGAGTATGAGGAGGTGTAAGTAACAAAGTAGAGATAACTTAAGCTGTAAGTAAATGCTACTTGGTAGGGAGTATTAGATCAAAAGTCTGATCTATCTGATTTGTAACTGCTGCATGTGTGTTATCCAGTGTTGCAATATCCATTTATTTGCATTTTTTTCTGATGCATCTAGACTTAGAAACACATGAAAGATGCATATTTTTATTAAAAAAATGTGAAAAAGAGTCATGTAATTATTACTATCTGGCTACTTGTTCTCTCTCTGGGAAGTTGATGTTCAGGGTAGATAGAAGCAGCTATGTTTTTCTAGATGTGTATGGCAACCTGCTGATTGCTGTCTCACCAGAATAAACTCCAAACCTTTCCAGCTGTTCTTAATCTGGCCCCTTAACCTTTAAAAAAACCAGAGGCTTTCCATTCCTCAGAGCCAAACTTTGCTAACAATATCTAGGTTGTTTTCAAACCAAGCTTCAAACATAAAAATGACTAATAAATCCATATTCCGTAATGGTTAGGCTGGGAAACTATTATTTTAAAACAGACTCAGTTTTTATGACCAATTTCTAATAAAAATCCCAAGTATGCTTCACTAATGCTACCATTTCAGATACTCAGATCCCGGATGATAGGCATGATATCCAGATAGATGCACCAATAAATATGTAAAAGCTATAAATCTGTCTCAAATTAGTGATTTGTGGATGTGCAAGGGGGAAGAGGGCTGGGAAATTCTGTTTTCTAATCTGTTCATTTCCTGACTCTCAATGCTCTGTCACTTGACAGCTGGTGATTGTATTTTTCTGTGGTTTGTTTTAAATGCTAAATACATTACTCTGCGCTCTTCGGGGGACCCGGGGTTTTGCACAGACTTATTCTGCACCTGATTCCACTCGTGTGAAGACCAATTTTGGGCAGCCCAGGGGCAGGGCCAGAGTCTGCCCCGAGCAGAGAGCGAGGCAGGTTTTGAGGAAGGAAACAGCGGCTTTTGGATGGAGCTACAGCCTGGAAACCCATAACGCTTCGGAGGACCGTAGCCCGCTGGCTTTGGGATTCCAGTTCGGGCTTCCTATTAAAACAACAACAGAACCCGTAGTAATCACTCATAAACATCCATCTTCCTGACTCTTTTACGGCCTCGTAATTGCCCCACCCTGACAGGCGGATTTATGCCCTGGCTGCCAGCAGCCGGTGCCAGGGAGCTCCTCCGGGGCAGCGCAGGGCAGGGCCGGGCTGCCCTTCCCAGAGAGTCGCTCCGGCAGATTTGGAAGCGGCAAAACCCCCGGTTTTTCCCTCGGCCTCCTTCGGTATCGCCCCAAACACTGTCCGGCTTTGGCCGCTCGCTCGGTGCACGTTCGCTCCAGGGCTTTGGGCAGCCTCCTCTCCCGGCCGGGGGGAGCGCTTTTCCCGTGGAAAGCTCCAGGAGGGAAAACCTCTCCTTTTCGCTCGTCCTCTTTTTCTCTTCCCAAGCGGGCTTACGTTCAAGTTTCTCCCGCAGGTCTCTTTCTCGCCCTCCCGGCAGGACTTCGCAACTTCTGCCGCGGTTCCGCTGGCCTTTTATTTGCCTTTTTATTTTTAGCCCTGGGTTTTATTACTTCTTTTTCCCTGTCATCTCTCATTCCCCGCAATGCACAAGGACCGGGAGGCTCCTTCCCCTTGCCCACGGGGCAGGACCCTCGGGCGGGCAGCGCCGTTCCGCCTCCGCCGGGAGCGCCCGCAAGGCAAAGGATGGCCTAGAAATTAAGCAGCGCTTCCGAGGTGGTCCATCTGCCTCTCCCCCCTGCCCATTTTCTTACACCGCTTAGGATTTCTCCGCGTCTCTCCCAGTCCCGTACTTTTAAAGAGAAATTTTAATTTACCGCCCCAAGCCCGAGGTGGTGGCGGGGAGGGGGCGAGCGGGGCGCTCCGCAGGAACTGCAGCGGCCCGCGGGGTCGCTCCCGGCGCCTGCCCGGCTACCGATACCCCCGGGGCTGGGGGCGCGGGGGAACCCGCCGAGCCCATGGGCGGAGGCGGGGAGGCAGCGGCGGAGCCCGCCCGGACCGCGCCGCCGCGGGAGCCCCGGGGCCGCCGGAAACTTTCCTCGGCGCTGAGCGCCGGCTCCCTCTCGGTGCTGCTGGCCCGGGGCTGGGGCTGGGGCTGGGGCTGGGTGCCGCCCGGCGCGGTGCCCCTGTGCCTGGCCGGCGCCTTCTCGGGCGCGGGGCGCTGCCCGGTGCGGGCCGGCGTGCGGCCGCGGGCGGCGGCGCTGCTGCTGCTGCTGCTGCCGCTGCTGCTGCTGGCCGCCTGCTGCGGGGGGGAAGCGGTGGCGCAGACGGCGCTGGCGGCGGGGGAGGAGGAGGAGGAGAAGGAGGAGGAGGAGGATCACTTGCTCTCCCTCGCCGCCACGGGGGTGGTGCTGAGCTGCCTGGCCGCCGTGACATGGCTGGTGCTGAAGCTGAGGCAGGGCGTCCTCATGCTTGCCGTGACTAGCGCGGCCAAGACCACGTCCTTCGTCGCCTTGGAGAGGGTCCCGGCGTCCTGGCGGCCCTACCTGGCCTACCTGCTGGGGCTGCTGGGCATCCTTCTGGCCGGCTACGCCGACCGGCTCTGGCCCCCGCGGCGGGCCGCCCCGCTGGCCGAGCCTCCCGCCGCCCCCCCGGCCGCGGACGAAGCCCCGGTGCTCAGGCGGCGGCGGCGGTCCAGCTCCATGATCTCCCCCGAGATGTCGGGCGGCGGCGGCGGCGGCAACAAGACCCACCGGAGGACCTCGCTGCCCTGCATCCCCCGGGAGCAGGTAGGGCAGGGGCTGGCGGGACTCGGCTCCCAAACTTTGCCGGGGGTCCCGGCGGCGGCGCGGGGAGCTGCGCCCTCACGCCGCTCCCGGCACGGTGCGGGCTTTGATCGGCGCGGAGAGCCCCGGGACGCCTCGGGACGGGGCCGGGGGAAGCCGGGCTGAAGCCGGGCTGAAGCCGGGCTGGAGCCGGGCTCTCGGACCCGTCTGACTTGCCCCGGCTGCGGGCAGCGGGCAGAGCGCTCGGGTGTGCTTTTCCCTTACAGCTGTCGCCGGCGCTGGCTTTTCCTAAAGCTGGCAGAGGGGCGGACGGCGACCGCTCGGCTCTCGGAGCCGGTGGGAACCTGACCTCAGCGCAGCCCTGGGCTTTCCCAGCATCACTTAGGAGCCCCGCTGCTTCAAGAACCTGTAGTTTCCTAGAAAGGTAGCTCAGCCTTTTAAAACTTGCTTTAAGCTTGAAAGGGGTGTGTGTGTGCGTGAGCCGAGCAGCTCGCCCGCTCGGTGGGAGAAGCGCCTTATCGGGGCGGCAGCCCGAACGCCGAGGCTTGTCTTTGCACTTTGCCTCCCCAAGGCTGTTCCCGTGCCTGTAATCAATAGCTCCGGCCCTGCCGTGGCTGCGGGAACCGGTGCGAGGCACACGCGATTTATCTCAACTTTGTTTCCTTTGAGCGGCTCTGATTAGAACGGCCGGGTGAGAACTTCATTGCCAGAGATGCGTTCATTTCAATGCGCACCTCAAAAAAAGTGGAGAAGCAGCAATCTGGCGCCGGTATCTTTAACTGCACAGCTGTGTAGAGTCCTGACACTGACACAAAGTGGGCTTGGTTCTGTGCCTGAAGTGTTTCCCAGTTGTTTTGAGATTTAAGATTGTCCCACAAAAATATCACTCCACGGGTCGCGTGTAAACTGAGTGTCTTGAAAGTCAGCGCAACCTCTGCTGAGCAGTGGAAAGGGAAACCTGGGGAGGGAAACAAGTATTAAACGGTGTTAAGTTTTCTTTTTCAATTAGTATTGAAAAGGATTCTGTGCACTGTCATCAAGTGAAGTGCGTTGTCATACACCTAAGGCTTTCTTTCAGGTGACTTGCTAGATAAGCAGCAAAGTATTTTCCAAGTAATGGCATCTAACTATATGGTGTGAGTGGCTAGTTTGTTCCTGGAAATTGTTTGATTACATGCCTTTGTGGTTGGTATTGACATTTCTTAGAAGAGGGCCTGACAACCTATATACTTGAGACATGTTTTACAACAAACATACTTATTTATTTAACAGTTTTGTTTAGGTAAAGTAAATATTTACCACAGACAAATACAGTGTGAAAAAGTAGAAAACTGACCGAGTTCTGACTTTAACAGGAATTGAGAGGCAATAGTGTAAGAGTAATTTTTAAGTACAATAAGGCACAAAATCAAAACTGTTTATGCTTACTTGGTGATGCTAGGCATTTCTGGTGGTTTATTACAATAATCATTTGTAAGGTCTTAAGACATATTTTCCACCTGCTTTCACACTTCCAATAAATGCAGCCTTTTAGTTAACATCTCTAAATGTGATCGTTCTGAGACAGAACTCGGTGACCGTGGTCCTTCGCTTATCTTGTGGAGGAACTTCAAATCTCCTGCATGTACCACAGCGTTGAACTGGTGATGGATAACAAGGTAGACTTCTTTTCCCTCCCTGATGGTGCATTACTTGGGGAAAGCAGCCAGCTTTGCCCCGAGCAATTCCCACTTCCAGGCTGTGGAGCTGGGCTGGAGTTAGCTGGCAACTGTTCCGTTCAACCGCTGCAGGGTTTTGGCAAATTTCTCTTTCTTTTGTTCTTACTCACTATTAATCAATAGTGAGATCTGGTATTGCTTGTGTCTCTGTGTGATTAGAAATGAATGATTACTTTGGAGTTTGGGGAGACTTTCTGTTTTTTGTTTTTTTTTTTTTTAGCAAAATGTGACTGTGTGTTTGTGAACTTTTCTCCCTAAAAGCTGTTCTCTTAAATAAATGCCAGCATGATAGAAAAATGGAAAAGCTGAAACAAAGCTCTGTAAGGACCTTGAAGAAATGATGAGAGAAGTGGGACTCTCCTACAGCAAACAAAGTTTATGTTTATAGCAAAAATCAGCTCCCTGTAGACTTAAAGAAAGTATAGGTAAATGTTTTTCTTTCGGAAAGTTTTTAAATATAACATGTTAAAAATAGACATGAGGGCTTTGAAAGAAAACCAGGCCTTCTCTTGCCCCTCTATTTTTAAAAAAACATCCCCTGAATGTTTCTGGTCTTGTTTGTACATCTGTGAGCTGCCAATAGTTTTCATCAGGAAGTAGATCCACTTTATTGCTTTGAAACGTGTACTTGAATTTAGTGAGTAACATCAGGCAAAATTTTAGAGATCTTTCCCATCACCTCCTGTGTAACCTTTCCTATTGCTGAGCACTTAATTGAGCTTTTGTTTTTCCAGAATTTGATTCCCTTCATATCTGTCTGTTTCTCTTAATAGGAGATTCTGTGCAAGTTGGAATTGCTGAATTTTTCTTTTTTAATCACACACATCTCGATTTTCATCTGAATTCTTCCCTACTAGAATTTGAAGGTGACTTTATGTGGCATTGTGATGTAAAGGACAGTACCAGGAATTGCAAACTGACAATATGAATATTGTGTTTGCACACCTTGTGTTATCATCTTATCAGTTCCAAAAAGAATTTTAAAAGAAAAATCTTCCATTAAAAAAGCCGCCATCCAAAATTCAATAGTATCATGATGCAACCTTCTGTTGTTGCTAAAAGTGCTCTTTCCCCATTTTCAGTTTAATTCTGTGCTTTTTGTGGTTGCTTTTTGTATATATTCTCTCTCTTTCCCAACTTTGGCCAAGTTAAAAGCTTCCAGCCTGGTGTGTTGTGTAGATCTCATTGAGGAGTGTGTGCCTGATCTTGTTCCCAGCTGAGTGTTGTCTCCCTGTG